AATAGATGATAAGTTGTTTGATTTTCAATGCAATGATCACGATGTTTCATTGCTTAAAAAAAAAACATTTTACCATTACCAAAAAAAAGTTCACAACCTCCTGAGGTTGATCATGGTTCTATGAAAGTTAATCTATAGGATAATAAGGGAAAAATAAGAGGTTGACCTAAATATTAAAAAAAATCATAAATGAAAAGCTAAATTTTTTAAATAACTATCATTGTTTATAAAACATGCAAATGTAAAAAGAACATTAGCAAAAATAAAAAAATATAAATGACATCTCAAGAAGTTGAGAAATTCATAAGAAAACTCACAAGAATATTGATATCTACACCAACAGCAGAAGAAACAGATTGTAGAATATTTCGAACAAACAAATGAAGCTTGATCAAATAATATTTTTGAACAAACAAATTGAAGCTTATTTATTATTGTGCTATTATATTTTTTATCATTAAAATCATCTGTTTTGGAATGAAATTGACCAAATGGTCTAAACATGTTTTTACCTAAAATATAAAAGTTATCAAGATAGCTTTTATATTTTTCTGCTAGTTCTTTGTGAAACCAAAAAATTTTATACTAGTCATAAAAAGGTTCTTTTAGGTATTCAAAAGAATATGTTGAACAACTGGGTATTCAAAAGAATATGTTGAGCAACTGGGTAAAAAAATATTTCTGGATCTCTTGAGTCAATATGTATAAGGCTTTTTTTTTTTTTTTTTTCTTTTGTTCTTTAATTCAATATTTAATCCAATATTTACAAATATATCAATAAGAAAAATTACATGCAAAGAAACCGTTAAAAATTAAAGAATAAAGGTAAAGAACGTGGATACCCAAAGAAGACCATACAGGTCTTGTCAACGGAAACCGCTGTTGAAGAACTTTGAACTTAATTTAGATTTTAGAAAAAACAAAAACAAATAAATACAAATTTTAAACTTTTCTTTAGTTATGGTCTTTATGGCTTGAATTAAAATACTAATTCTTCTGAATCGCATGACTCAAGCGAAAACAATAATATCATAATATTCTTGAAAAACAATACGTCACGCATCTTATTCGCATTTATACGATCACTGAATCTTGTTACTTAAATGTATCTTACAATTACACTAATCTTAACTACTAATTAATTAACAAATTAACAAAAATAATATAATTGCACTAGGTACATTCAAATGCACTTCAAGATTGTCCAAAAGATTGTGTAGAAGAATTTAGAAAGCCAAATGATGGTCTCTGTGTGTGTGAAGCCAAAATTATCAAATGTTGAAGCGTTTACGTTTACGCTTTCACCGACAAAAATACTAAACCAACGTCAAAGGATGGTTAACTTCGTGAAGTATCATTCATACAATATTTGCAGATACTTTCACATACATCAATTTTTTTTTATTTCAAAATAAATTCTATATTAAAAGTATATACCGTTCGTAAGACGAATTATTTACAAATATTATGAGTTAAAATAAAAATTAAAGTAAACAAGTAACCATACTTCAAACATCAAATAGTACATCAAAAGTAAACAAGTAAATAATAGTAGACTATTGTACAGATAATGTGCAACTTTTAACAAAATTCAAATAATGGTGTTTAAATATAGTTTCTCACATAAACTTTAAATCAATATTGTATAAAAGTAAAAAATAAATGAGTGATAACAAAACTGGACATAATTAAAAGTATATAAATGTATTTTCATTTGAGAAAATTACTTTTTTTAGGGTTAAAATTATTTTTTTTACGGTTTAGGGTTAGGGTTAATTACTTTTTTAGGGAAAATTACTTTTTTTAGGGTTTTTTTAGGGCTATATTTGATATTTCTTCTTTCTGGTGTAGATGATATGATAACAAATTTATAGATACAAAGATTATCAAGAATAAATTCAGCTGTACTTTTAGATGCAGTTGCTAGGGACAAGTGATCGCAATTCGAGAGTCTATTATGATGAGACCAAAATGCATCTGATTGTGTACTTGAACATCCCCAATAAAAATGACAGAAAAAAAAGGTATAAAAAAAATCTTGTAAATCATAAGATTTTACTTATATAGTATTTATCTTTTTATTTTTTCATTTATCTTTTTTTTCAATGAGGAAAACCTTTTAATTTTAAAATAATTTTATGTATTACAAGAAGACATTAAAGTTTTGAATATCAATATTTACGTAGCAAATTTATAACAAAATCACTTACCACTTTTTTTCTCACTGGCTTTCATCAATTGCAATTGCAAGAAGTTTCTGATTAAAAGTCATTGACAATTAATCTATAAGTTATTACAATGGCTTCAGGTGAACAAAATATTACATTTGCTTCATTGTAATTTATCTAAAAAAAAAATTATATACTTTTAAAGAATAAACAACACTCCATATTTTGAAAAAGAAAATTTACTATTCAGTATCAGAATAATTAAAATTAATATATATATATATATATATATATATATATATATATATATATATATATATATATATATATATATATATATATATATATATATGTATATATATATATATATATATATATATATATATATATATATATATATATACATATACATATATATACATATATATATATATATATATATATATATATATATATATATATATATATATATATATATATATATATATATATATATATACATATATATATATATATATATATATATATATATATATATATATATATATATATATATATATATATATATATATATATATATATATAATATATATATATATATATATATATATATATATATATATATATATATATATATATATATATATATATATATATATATATATATATATATTCTGTTAATTATGCTTTATAGAAGCTACTTTGATTCATTTTTCATAAGAATGTTTTCTTGATCTTTCATTAAACTCAAAAGCGGAGAAATAACTAAAATTTTATTATTGCACATTATAAGTACATATTCATATCAAATACTATCAGGTGCTTGTTCTTCACTTACCAAGTTTAAAGTGAAAGTAAAAAAGGGTAAACATTGGAACACAATTGACTTTTTACTGTCTGTTGGGTGGCAAACAAAATAATCTACGCCATTTCTGAGCTATTTCTAAAGATTCTTTTTGGTAATCCTTCAAAGATTTAATACAAAATAACTCAGAAACTATTTTAAAAGCTCTAAATTATCGTCAAAATATCGTCTATACTTAAGAGTATTTTAGTTATTTGTTTATTTTTAATTTAAAAACAATAATTATAAGCAAAGTTTTCAGAAGTTTAAACTTCACTGTCTACTTTACAACGCACTTTTACAAAAAGGCCATTTTACTCAAAAATTTGCGAAGTAAGTATTGGATGAATTTATTTTCTTGGGTCAAATTATTTCTGTACCAGTACCGATAAAAAATGTTTTAAGTCTTTTTATAATTTGTCTAGAAAAAGGATGGGGGGGGGGGGAGAATCATTTTTTGAGATGAGAAAAATTATGAGCATTTTATTAATTGCCTTTTTTACTAACGAATTGAGTGATAAATAAAAAGAAACATGTCACCAGTATGCAAAATAGTATGATTTTTATAATGAGTTTGTTACAGTGATAGTATCGAGGCATAGGAAAAGATAACATCAAGGCAAAGAAAAAAATTCAAAAAACCACATGATTCCCATACAACTTTAAAAAACATTAAGTTTTTGGAAAAGAAAAGAAAAGAAATCAAAGTACGCGTTTTAAAAAATACGATTTGGTGTTACTTTTTGACCATCAATATGTGATTTTGACACCGCATACAAAACTTTATTTTTAATCTTAAAAAACTGAGTTTGTTTTTACCTGCGTTTTGCGTGCGTACCGAAAGAGTGTATTGGGCATTGTAAACATAACTAATGAACTGCATTATTATAAAAATTAATATACTAAAAATAATTAAAAAAAAAAAAAAAAAAAAAAACCACCTGAGTGACCTACTAATAAGGTCCGTAAAACATCAAAAGCCACGTTACATTTTTTGCAAAACAATTCTATTTTATTTCTATTAACTCAAATTTTTACTCAATTACCATAAAACACTCTCCAGGTCATTCTTGCATCTAGGATCTAGATCAGGCGCACAACGAAATTAAAAAGACTATCAAAACTAGTTTTTATTGTCCTATCGGATTAAAACTCTAAAGCGTACCAAACGTATCGACCAAACAACCTTTATTTTATCATTTAAGCAACTAAAGACGACTCATTAATTTTGAAACTGTTTTACTAAATGTTTATTGTTTTTTTTCGAATTGCCAAAACCGACTTAAGTATCACAAATGTTGTGAAGTTACTCGAACGAACAAAGTTTAAATTTAGCCATAGCTGTAATGAAGCAACGACTTTTGTTAATATAAAACTCAGTGATACACCTAGAAATGATGGAACAGGGCAGTCAATTTAAATTTTCAACATAAGTTCTTGCAAACCTTAAAAAAATTAAAAAAAATAAAATAAAGACCAAGAACACAACAGAATAGTTTGTTTTTTTATAAAATTAAATCCTAAGCCTTTGAGTCTTGTGCATAAAGTAAAAATAAATCTTTAACATGTAGTTTGATGGGAAAAACAAACAAAAAGAGTAAATAAGTAAGTTTTTTAAAAACAACCAGAAATTACCAACATAAAAATTTTTGGGTTTGAAACAATAACACAAAATAAATTTCAACTTTTTGAAATTTTTAATTTTTGGTTCTAACAGTTTTCGGTAGTTATTTTACTGGAAAGAGTAAAACATTTTAAAAAAACATTTATTAATTTCTCAACTTTATTTTTGAAAATTATTTTAGCCAACGATTGCGTTTTCATTCACACAGTTAATTTAAAACAATTACTTTCATAACTTAGGGAACAAACATGTTTATTGTTCTTTTCATTTTTTATTATTAATATTTGTATCATAAAACTGTGTTCTAATATTTACTTGAAAAATAAAGATTTTGAAAATTTTAACAAACATTACTCAGGTACGTTACTTTATTTGAATGACAACATAAAAAAATATAACGTTTATTGTTTAATATTGAACAAACCTGAGTGGCTGCTTATTGGAATTGTACTTAAATTTATTTTAAAAACGCTTTTATTTAAATTTTACCAACAAATAGCTGGTAGTGAAGAACGTTTTAAAAGGTTGAAGTTGTCTGAAACGTGTGTAAGATTTGTTTATTATGTTTTAATTTTAGCGAACATTCTTATTAGGATACGCTTTTAAAAAGAGTTGGGAGATTTTGACATGAAAGTTTGGGACAAGCAAAGAGATATATTTTTGATAGTATTAAATTTTTTTATTTTTCAAAAATACATATACCTAATTATTTAATTATAATTATTGTTGTTTAACGAATATTAAATTTGCTATTTTTATTTTAAACAAAAAAGCAAAAATCTCTTTTGCTTAGAGGTGTTTGTGGAAGTGCAAACACGTGTGTATGCGTGCGCGCGTGTGTGTGTATTGTTGTTGTGGTTGTTGTTGGGAAGACTAAACGTATGAATTCTGAGGACATGTGCAAATGTTAATTTAATGTAAATGTAGCTTAGGTAAATGTAATAAACGTTAGTTATATATAAATGTTAACTTATATATAAATGATAACTTATATGAAGCCCAATCAAATAATAAGTATACGACGCCCGGTCTAATATTAAAATTTTTACTATAACTATGAAACCTTAGAAAATATAAAGTTTCAAATTTATTTTTTCCAACATTTAACTCTTTTAATGCGTCACATATAATTATCATCAACATTTCATTAACTAAAATTTTTATTTCTAAAATAATAGTATGCATTATATAAAAACGTTTTACAATAACAACCTTTTTTATAATATTCTTTTAATACAATCTTCTATTAAATTTAGTTTAATATTAATTGTAAAATTCTATTGTTCTAACGTTGTTACAAAGTTATGAAAACATTGTTATTGACTTGTTTTTATTGGTAATACATACTAACTATTTGATATACTAACGCTTTTGTTGATTTGTTTGCTAAAACTATTTTTAAACATTAAAAAATAAGGATGTAACAGATAAAGTTAAATTAAATTGGTAAATTAATAAATAGCAACGAATACGTTGCTATTTATTAATTTACCACCTGCAATCTTTTTTTCTTTTTTTTTTTTTTGTCTCTGTAGCATTGAAACTTTTTCTTGCATTAAAATTGTTTTAACAAGAATTCATTTGTTCACCTGTCTCAAAAAAATTCTAAACTCGATTTTAATCTTAACGTCAGTGTCGTGTGTGCGTAACACGACAACATTCAAGGAGACTTTTTTAAACCAATAATGTTTCAAAACCATAAAAATTTATTTTTTCATATAAATAAAAAATTTAATTAAAATTTTTTAATCTTTTTCATAAAATTTTAGTGTTTTTTGTACTCAAATATAAGACGAGTAAAATTTGTCAAAATTTGACGGACATCTTTCTTGGTTTCTTGACTTTCTTTCCAATACGCGAAGTTCACTCCGAAATACGTCTCACGGTTTTTTTATAAAAATTTATACTTTTTTTAAAAGCGAATTAATTTAAACTTAAACATAACTTTTAAGCTACTTATCCAAAATGAACTTTCTTATTTTTACATTCAAATACTTTTTTATAACTTGCAATCAGGTTTTTTAAAAGTTACTCGGCGTAGTTAAAACGATTTACAAATTATTCGAATTCTTATATTTGGAATTTGCATGGTTTTGTCAGCATATTATATCCAAACGATCTTTAGATCAATTCCGCTCATCGGCGTTAACACGAATTTAATTAAAATCTTTTGAAAATGTTCCTTAATTTACTATTGATACTAGTTCTAATCGGTTCTGACGTATATTCACTATATATAGTTGTTAAAACACAATGTTTCTATCAATACAGAATTTCGACCTAGAATTTAAATAAACTTTAAATAAGGAAAAATTGGCAATAAACGATCAGATTAGATCATATTATTAAACTATAATGTTCATTTCACCTAAAAAACGTATTTATAAAAATCTTATTAAAATTTGGACGAGCGATTATGATTTTAAGAAGATTTTTTTTAAAAAAAAAGATCTTCGGTCTGGGTTTTTTCTCTATAAATATTTATATTTTATGATACCGCAAAATTTATTTAAATTTAAATTTATTTATTTATTCCGTCCTTTGAAATAAGATTTACAATATTTTACAACTTAACAATATAAAAATTTTGAAAAATTTTGACGGGAGCAGGCAGATGACATGATCTTATCATCCAGCCCCGTTGTTACAAATTTAGATATAATCTTGTATATTATACACATGCATAAACTTTTTTTTTTTTTTTTTAATTTTTATTTTTTAATTTTTATTTTTTATTTTTTTATTTATTTTTTTTATTATTATTGTTATTTTTTACGTCAATATAATAACATAACTTACATATTAACAAGTACATATTGAAAATACTTATTGATAATATTAAAATAATAAATATTTAATAAATAAATATTTATTATTTTAAAAACATAAATAAAAACGTATTGTGTCAATATATAAAACATTAAGTAACTAAGGTTATAATAAAGGTTTTGAAAGCAAGTTAGTAATTGATTATAATCAAAACTGAATATGTGTTGTTTCGTTGCACGTTTAAAATATAGAGTGGAAGTTATAGTCTTTATATTACTTGTTAGAATCGAGTTTCACAATTGTGGTCCTCAGCAAGATATTGAGAAGTCAGCTTGTTTTAATAAAGGTTTTGGAATAACAAAGTTGTTAATTGAGTACTTAGTTTGGTATTTGTGGTTTATAGAAATAAATTGATATTGAGAAGTGTTTGGTAGTAGTAGATTTTTAACTTAAGAATATTTACTTCGAAGACATTAAGCGCTCCAAGTTCTTATAGTAGAGGTTTGCACTGGTGTACCTCTATGCGTTTAGTATTAAGCAACACGCATGTTTTTTTTTATGTAAATTGCACTTAGTTTTGTTGGATATGTACTCGCCCAGATTATGTTACAGTAATTGATGCAGCTATGAATAAAAGAGAAATAAATATTTTTTAAACTAGTTGTGTTAAGAAGATGCTTTGATTTATACATAATTCCGGTAATTTTAGATATTTTCTTTTCCACTTTTTTGATATGATTACTCCAACTAACTCTTTCATTAAAAATTACACTTAAAAAGTTGCTTGAGTATTCTCTTTTAAGTTTAGTTTTGTTGATAAGCAGTTCAGGAAGTTTTAAGGGGGGGAAGGGGGGTGTTTGAACCAGAAGATTTCGAAAAAAGAATTTATTTGCGTTTTTAGCGAGAGTTTGTTGGACTTAAACCATTCGTTTAGATTTTCTAACTCTTGATTAACCTTATTAAACATAAAGTTAATGTTTTTGTAGCTAAAAGATACTTACATATTGTCAGCAAAGAGAAAAAAGTTGAGTTTATTGGAAGATGAGAAGATATCATTAAAATAAACAAGCAATAGCAATGGCCCTAGAATTGATTCTTGCGGGACCCCACAGGTAATACTTTTAGGCTGTGTAGCAGTATTGTTATACGTTAATGCTTGTTTTCGATTATGAAGATAGGAGCAAAACCATTTTAAACTGTTGCTTTTTATTCCATAATTATCTAATTTATACAGAAGACCATCATGGTCAACAGTATCAAATGCTTTTGAAAGATCAAGGAAAACCCCTAGAGAGTATTTATTTTTATCGAATCCATTTAAAATTTCATTTACAAGTTTGACTACAGTCTGTTCTGTTGAGTGCCGTTTTTGAAATCCATATTGATTATTATTTAAGAGATGATGATGAATTAGAAAGTAATAGATTCTATTGTGCATTATGTGCTCTAAAATTTTTGAAAAACATGGTAAAATAGAAATGGATCTATAGTTAGAAGCCATAGAATCGTTTCCGCTTTTAAAAACAGGCACAACTTTAGCCATCTTAAGCTGTTCAGGAAATATCCCTTGATTTAAAGACATGTTGTAAATATATAGAAGGGGATGTTCAATAATATCGTAGACACTTTTTACGACATTTGCACTGATGTCATCAAGCCCTGGACTTTTGTTTGATGGTAGGGAATTAAAGGCGTTTTGAAGCTCATTGGGAGTTATTTTATACTCTTCGATTACAAAATATTTTTTTCTAAATATCATTTTTAAACTTGTTTTTCCAGAGGTTACTTTGTCAGCTAGTTTTTTCCCAATTTTTGTAAAGAAACTGTTAAATTTCCCAGCAATGTCATAGTTTTGGAGGCTGAAATATCACTTTTATGTGATCTTAAGTTTTTTGGGAACATTTTTTTTATTCCTATAACTTCTTTTATTATGCTCCATCCCAGTCACGAATTTGATATCATACGGATATCAATATGATATCAAACTTTGATATTTATGATATCAATATATGATATCAATATGATATCAAAATGAAATCACTCGTTGAAATCATTCTGAACTCAAAACCTGATATCATACTATGAGAAGTTTGTGATGTCAATAAGATATCAAAATAAAATCACTCATTGATATCATTCTGAAATCAAAGGCTGATATTATAACATGAGAAGTTTATGATACCAATTTGATATTAAAAAATAATCAATCATTGATATCATTCTGAACTTAAAACCTGATATAAAATGAGCAGTTTATGATATCAAAATGAAATCACGTATTGATATCATTACTATTATTTACTTAATAATTATTTTGATTATAAAAACACTTTTTCAAAGTGAGGAGGGCGGGGGGAGGGGGGGGCAAACTCGCTCATTAAAAGAAATTGCCTATTTCGTACAAAAATTTAGTTTATAAAAAATAGGTCCTTGAAAAAGCGGGTGTAGTAAAGTAAGGGATTATAGTAAACTTTTAAAGGGGGTAAAGTAACTGAGTTTATTCAAGGTAAATGAGTAAAAGCATAAATATTGACTTATCAAAAAAATTGAAATCAAAATAATACAAAGAGGCATTAAAATTCAATTACAAATAAATTTACAAATGTTGAATGTTCCATTTTTAAAATCATTAAAGCACTTTATAGCTCATTTAGCACCTAACGAATACCAAATATGGTTAGTTAACTTGTAGAGCATTTCAACTGTGCACAAGTGATAAAATAACTGCTGCTGCTAGATTATCAGGTTCAAAAAGAGACAGCGGTATTCTTATGGCC